TCCCACGCTCGCGATGAATTGGGGGGGGGGGGGGATTGGATCAAAGTAGACAGCTGAAAAATAAAAGCTCTTTTACTTTCATTTTTAATGACAGTATATTTCTCTCTTTAAGGCCTCAACTTAACTGCTCTCTATGACCAGCTACTTAATCTACTGCTTTGGCTGAAACTGAACAGAAGGAATGGTCAAGGCTTCAGTCACATGCTTTCAAAAATAAATGCAGCAGACTTAACTGGGGTGTGAAGGTCCAAGACCTTCTTGATCTCACATGCCAAAATTATTATTGTTGTATACTGCCTGCTATACATTTCATACCATACAAGCTATTGCACCTTCCTCCTGCCTTTCATTCCATACAGGCCATGCAAGAAAGAAGTCTACTTAATTCTGCAGCAATTCCCATAGTCACCGCCTCCCCACAAATGCCTGCTCAACACTGTGCAATCTGAGTCAACCTCAATTCCACAACAGAGGTTTCTTCCGGTTAAAACACTTGTTGAAAGTCAAAACACAGGAAAGAATATTGAAGAGCCAAATGAACTACTCTTGAAGTACCTATGAATCTGCCCAACTTGTTTTCATGTATGACAACCAGTTAATTGAAATGACAGGTAATTAAAAACCTGGGAAATATTCCAACCTTCTTTCTTCTTGACTGCTTTCCTCAAGTTTCTGTAGCCTTCAAAAGCACGAGGTACAGTATTGGAAGGCCAAGCCAATGAAGGACAAACCAGACAGTGAAAAGCAAAAGTGATAAGAAGGTAAAAAAATGATATATGAGCTTGTGGAGTTTAAAATGAAATTTTAAAAGATACCATCACGACACAACAAGTAGTAAAAAGGCAATACATTTTGCACAGTTGGAAAGTAAATAGAAAACAAAGAAGCAGCATTTGTAGGTTAACTAATCTGTCACTGTCAACAATTGTAAATTTAAGTTAAACTAAGGAAGAAGTTTTAGATATAGACAATGTATTTCACTTTGAGAATTATTTCTAATATGGATTCAAAAAATCTCTTAGTTCTAGAAAAAGCTTTCTCCTCTTTTGCCACTTAAAATTGGCAGGTAAAATACCAAAAATTGCAAGAAGTACTGCCATTGAACCAAAGTTATATAACCTCAAGAATATATCAGGAAAGAACCCAATGCACTAGTTTTATATATGCTGATAACATATTGTAATATAAAATAGTAATGAAAAATTTTTAGTACTAATATTTTAAATCATATATTCTGAATATAATTCTTAAAAATCTTCAAATTGCATTTATTTTTTGGTTTGCGGTTTTGTTGTTTGTTTTAAAATAAAAAGCAGAAACCCACAGTTTATTTTTCTGGGATTCAAAAAGTACATGCCAATGATTGCTTGTTATTTTTTAATAAATTAACAAAAAATATGCATCAGAAGCAATGAGATGGACAAAGTGTTAGTATTTTTACTTGTACTTTTTCCTCTTGAACAAATGTATATGTATCAGTAGAGAAATGTCTGCATGACTTATGTATATGTAGAGATAGCTTAAATTTCAACTACTGAAATTCCTCATGTTCCCATTATGAGCAAGTTTTGAGCAAGAGCTTTTGCTGCCTTTTCACCTCATGCTGCCTGCCATCTTCCTTCAGTATCAGCTAGGAGCTAACACGCTAAAGCCCATGTAATTTTATCACTAATTTAGTAATAAAGGTTAGGGAAGTCAAAAGACAACAGTCAAAAAAGGTTACCAGGTATGTAAGGCTCACTAATGATTGAAAGGGACGTAGGAGGTTTGCTCTGGGGCTTCCAGTGAGTAGGTCACACTGTGGGACACTCCAATCGAGCATGTCAGTATTTCAGTAGCCAAAACATTACTGCCATGTAAACTGTTTCCAATAAACTTTATGACAGATGCTTATTAAAGGCTACAGATATATAGCAGTACATACCTGCTGCTCATTCAGAAACTGGCTCTTAGATCTTCAGGCTAGCTCACAACAATTTAGCTAAGTGGCATATATTTAAAATTATGCCCCTTTCATCATACTGACCCACAACCAGGAAACAAACAGGTCAAGAAATGTAGCAGATGGGGCAGAACTAGTAACTAGGCTTATTGATCCCATTTTAGCAGGAAAATGATAGTTAGACAACTTTAAAAGAACAGCAACCCTAAAAAGAAATAGTACAGTAAAAGCAGCTAAATGCCTGTAGAACACAGAAGTAGAGCAAAGAATCCCTTCCAAACTGCAGGGTAAATTGTCCCTTTGCAATACATTAGCATACCCATTGCCAATTCCTGAAATTTCAGTAGAATAAAAATCCACAGCGATATATCCTGAACAGAGGCTTTGCATTTCATTAATTAGATAGAAGCACTCCACAGGTAACAAGTATGACAGGCTATATATATGCATAATCCCTCAAATTCTAACATTTCTTAGCTTCTAAGGAATTTCTCTCCTAACATATGCACTTCAGAAATTTATAAATATTTATTGCAAAGCAGTCTGCAGATGGGCCAGTAAACAGATTCAAACCTTACCAGCACTTTGAAGAGCATGATCCCATTCTATAGAATGGAAGACCTGCTTTAACATGGAGGCTGGACCATCAAGAGGTCTCTTCCAACTTAAATTTTTCTATGGTTCTCTAATTCTATAATGCTAGAATAGAAAACTGATCTCAAATTAGTTTACAGGAAGTATTCCCTAATTCTGGATCAGACCACTTGGCCATTCACAAGATTATTGTCCTGGTGTGAACAAGTGTGACTGGATGCAGAAGCTTCTTTCAGAAAAAAAAACCAACACAAAAAGAACAACCATCTGTTTTACTTACTACTGTATGTAGGGTAAAACTTCCAAATGTTTTTTTAAAGTCATCATCTCTTACAATAAGAGATATTATTCAATATATCTAGTAACCTTTATCTGTTTTCTGGTCACAATCCTGTCTGCTACCTAATACTCAGGCCTGAAACTAACAATTGGGGCTTTATCGAAACATGTATCTAAACGCATGCTTGATTTTAAAAGGTGTCGAAACACAGAAAATCAAATCTTTCTGTTCTTGCATTTACAGTTAAAGAACATATTGAAGCATTTGGCTGAAGAGACGCCAGAACATTCTGCTGATTTCATTTAACACTTCCACCCTGCCCTCAAGTTCCTATAAACATGAGACACAAAATCTATCAAAATCTCCATAAATGTATAAGAGTTTCCTTAAAAATGATATGCAAAGGAAGAATTTAGTTGTTATTAAAATGAGTGTTCTCCACGAGTATCAGACATTGACTTGGTGAATGGATTTAGATATTGGACCTCAAATTGCAGACATCACTAACTCAAGTCTACTTTATACTTCAACTATATTTCAGGCTTATACTGTTTTGGTTTTACTCTTAACTTGTAGAAGAAGTCTGAAGGGCCATTAGTAGAAAGAGTAATAGATTAGAAGTGTGGAAAATTTCAAGGAAAAGGGAAAAATCTCTAACGGAATCAGAGTTTCGGAGTACACAAACAGATCCTTGCTGTACTAACTGCTGTCTGAACAGGCATTTTTATCAATGTCTATGAGCATTTTAGTAGATGAGAAGTCGGAGAGCAAAAAACAGCAAAGCATGATGTTGCAGAGAATTAAGAAACCTCAAATTAAAAACATTTATAAAAGCAGAAGATAAAGCAAAAGAAGCCATTCCAAGAGCTACCAAAGAATTCCCAGCTATTCAGAATATCTTTCCTTCAGAAAGCTGTTTCAGTTTTGACGTACGGTAGAAAAAAGTTTATAATTTTTGGTTTTGCAAACTTCTGTTGAATTTCAAAGCATTTAAAAAAATTTTTTTTTAGATATCAAAATTTATGGAAAGCACCTGTGCTTTTACCACTGTGCATAATTATATAGAAAAATTCATTACAACAGAGACATTCATTGTACAAATACTGCATACTTCACTGGAAGAAAAGATGCAGAAGAAAAACATCTATAACTTCAATGTGTAAAAGGGTTCAAAGGAACAGCAGTTCAGGATCCAAACCCACACAGCAACAATTAATTAATTTTAAAATCTCAGTGGTTAAAAAAATACACTTCTTTACTAATAAAGAGAAAACAAATAGCATTATAATTCATACAACACCTCTTTTTCTTTTTCCTTTCTTTTTTTTTCAGCTTTTCTAGATCTTTCTTGGCTATATCTAGAATTTCCATTGTCTCTTTCTCTGAAGAAAGCATAGAAGCAGAAAATGCTGATGGTCCACCAAAGTACGTAGATCTTGCTGAAGCTCTTGACAAGTTGCGTCGAAGATTTTCATTCACTGCTTCACTTTCTAATAATTTTGCTCTTAAAAAAAAAATTTTAGAGCATGAATCACAAGTATTGCTAATGCACGAGATGTATACTCTCTAGCATCTGTAACTGCACTGCATTACCTTCAGTTTAAAAAGAAACTATAAACTAAGGTAAAGTCTCACAAAATACAAATGTAGCAAATCCCTTGATGACACCATTTTACACAACCTTCGTGTATGTTGTGCATATAATTTATACCCTAGACAGAAACATATAAATGTCTGTATAAATATATATGTGCATACCTTGTGTGTATATACATATTACATGAAAGCTACACAAGATCTCTAACACTAACTGGGAATAGGCCAGATAATTTTTTTTTTTTTTCATGATACACCTCCAAGAAATAGAGAAATAAAAATATATAAAATATTTAATTCTTTAATTTAAAGAGAAAGCAGATGGTTTTTTTAAACACTAAATCATAACAAGTAATTTCTCAGTACTATCATTTATACAGAAGGTGATGAATTTATAAAACAACTGTTCTAAGTTTTGCTGTCCTTTGTGCAACAATATCAAGTTATCATCATTATTTAGGCAACATCTTACTTTCATCTCTATCATCAGCTTCATCTTTAATATTTTAATTTTCTGTGGCCAAGAGCAACACCAGATGGTCGTAGAAGCTGAAGGACCACTGTCCTGAAGTAATCCCCACATAGGAGAGCTGAAGTATTTACTTGCTAACACTTACAGTATTTATTTTTTTTTTTTATAAAAATAGTTCAACAACATATTATGCAAATACCTGAGATCTTCAATTTCCTTGATATAATTATGAATCATGTTACTAATTTCTTCATTTCCTTCTCCTTCGAAGGACAGAGAGAAAGAGGGGGTGGGGGGAAGAGAAAGATTGAGAAAGGACGGTAACAGTATAAATATCTGAATACAGCTACTAGGTACAAGGTACCAGCAAAGAGACAAAATCATATGGGCTACATGTTTAGATCTTATCTGGTTTGTAAAATATAATTCCTCCTTAAGCTGCATTAAGTGTTAGGTTCCTCTGTGTCACATGATCAGAATTATGTCAAGTGACTTTTTCTATTTTATTTGTTTTCCATATTAGCACCTTCTAACAATGCATGTACCATAAATCAAATGTAACCTGACAAACAGTGCACAAAAAGAACAATGCAGTCATGGTAAGTGAATTGGTTGATTATTCTATGAGGTGAAAAGCAAGCCAACATTCACCCATCTGTGTCCAGGTCCTCATCCAAAGCAAAATATTTAAGTCCATGTATAGCTAAGCATACAAGTAATTCCTATCCAAAGGTATTATTTCACATTTTATGTTGTTCATAGTCCTAAATGAATGGTCAAATCAGGGTACCAAACTATTTCTAATAGAAGTGTCCAGAAACAGAGGAAAGAATCAGATGGGGGCCTATCCCTGCCAAAGCAGGTCCTACATTATTGTTACAAAGGCATCGCTTCATTCCAAAGGATCCATGAAGCAAGAACATAACTGATTTAAGTTTATGAACTTATGAACCAGTTTACACACAACGCACCCACAGCATACCTGCTCTGGCTAGCACTTGGTTGGCCTGATCACTCATAAGTTGCGTTATTCTTGCTCTCAGTGCATCAATAGTCTCTTGCATTGCTTTAATTCTAACACGGAGATTGTTGTTTTCTGTTTGCAGCATCGCATTTTCATGAAACATGTCATTAATGCTTTCAACACCTTCTTCATCTATAATCCTTTTACCCTTAAGAAAGTAAATATATTTTATTACTAGTAAAGGCTGACCTACACGTGAAAAATTTGTAACTTGACAAAGGAAATCCACAGATTACTTGAAATCTGAAATAGACACTCATAGCAAAAGATAATCTTCTATTGAAAAGTTTAAAACAATCAATAAATAGATAGTTTTCAAAACATTGATGTCTGGCCCACACCTTAGCATTTGGGTCCTGTGTAATTCCATCTTAGTCTGAAGTACAAGTTCTTGAAAAGGTTAAGAAATGAGAAGACAAATCTTTATGAAATCAGGATACCGTCTCAAGGAAAACAAAGGAGGACAACACTGGTAACCACATTTATTGCTGAAAACATTATCAGTTTTAAATTTCAGGAAGAAATGGTCATTGTGTAGTATTAGTATCTGCCTTATATAATTTAAAACGTATTTTTTAAAGACAAATTGTTTTACCTGTCTAGTAAGTTTTTAAAAGCAATACACAGTAACTGTACACATTCATTTATGTGCCAATCTAAACTGTGGTAATTTTTACTTTAGAAGTGATTATTCCTCATTGCTGAGCATGACAAGGTCAATTTTTGCCTTTCAAATAGCAAACACAATGCAGCATCTGTTGACATCATTGGCATTCATTGATGTATCTTTTCTCTGTGGATGCAATCTAAGTTTTCTAAAAACATCTGGTAATCACTGGAATTAGAAGTGTTGTTTAAGTTAGGGTTGCTGTTCAAATCTTTTTAGTGTATGAAGTGGAAGTAGCCACCAGAAAAAAAAGCTATAGAACTATAAGCATTTTAAAGCAGAAGAAATCCTAAGAGGATAAACTTACTGTTTTGTATTCCATGAGTTCCATTTGTAGCCGTGTAATCTCACTGCGCAAAGCATTTATTTGTTGACTCGCCCTATCCTGATTAACCACCACCTTGTTCTTGATGTTCCGGGCCCGATTGGCATACTTTAATGTGTTCAAAGTTTCCATGAAATCTCGATCTGAAGGGCTCACGCATGCTATCATAAGCGTTTGACTGGAAGTTAGAAACATAGGTCAGTGTTACATACCAAGAACAAAAAGAACAGAGAGAAGCTAACAGGTCTTCAGATAGAAGATGAAACAAGAATAGTGACTTCAGAACATTTGTGAAAATATTCCTTGATCTAACTCACAGTAGAAGACTATCAACCACAAAGTTCAGCACTGTTACATCTTGTATCTCCCTAGCATAGCATAGGAGATGCCGGATCATTAATTGTTCTGCATGTAAAATTATAAAAGCAATTTAATTGGTGTTCCTATAAATGTTTTTCAACCAAATTCAGTTTGCTTAACCATACGCAAACTGAGACTTAGAAACTTGAGATCAACCTAAAGTCCTAGACAGTGATTTGGATCACACAGTTGTCAGGACTGCCTACTCTAATTCCTGAGGTGTGTACCTACTTAATCTGAAAGTTGCCTGAATGCTCATCTGAGGTGTCCATGCATGCACAAAACTCCCTAAGGTACCTATTATCTACCACTCCCTAAGGTACCCATTATCTACCTTGGGTTCTACCGAGATCCAAACTGCCTGAATTTTCCACTGCAAATTATCTCCTGTTCTCCAACAGAAGCACAAAAGCTAGTACTTACCCTTAGTACATCTGGCTATAATTGTATTTATTCCATGTTTCATAACACCACTGCTTAGAGCACTTCCACAAAAAGCAGAATCTGAGCTCTAGGCCCAAGAGGGTTATGAACAACCATCTTCCTACAACACCCTCTAGCCATCCCATCACAGGACATGCAGGGTGAGAACATACTCCCTGCTCCAAGTGAAAGACTGAGCAGACAGAACCAGCGGGACAAAAGCAGAAAACAGCAAAAAAATTTTCATGACAACCAAGTGCTTTCATCATTCAATAGGCAGATGGAGGAATGGGGGTCTCTTCCCTCGCTCCCTGGAGTACACTCATTTCACATCAGATGAGAACAGCCTAGAGGGGTCAGAACCAGAGTTCCAGCTGTAGATCATCCTCTGAAGATGCCTACATGGCCTAAATTCTCAAGAGACAGAGGAAAACATCTACATTTGATGGACCCAGTACTCCCCTCCAGGCTTTAGAGGAATTTGCCTCTCTGTTGTATGTTAAAGCTTAGGTGGTTGCGCTAGGAAGAGTACACTGTCTCCAGGGCAATGAGCAATATCTGCATTAGGCAGACTGGATTCTGAACTTCACTTTCTATAATTTCAGACTGAGACAAACAAATTAATCCCTGCAACCCTTTGTGAAGCAAACAATTACCTTCACCATACACACCGATAAACTAAACTGGAAAGGGTAACTAGCCTGAGGATACAAGAAAGAATCAGTTTCAGCAGTTTCTCAGACCTCCTGTGTACCTTTGTGTCAGTTCTCCCCTTGAGCTTAGTCCTCAAGATGAAACTATGTGCGATTAAGAACAAATTTTTAATTCTGACATCAGGACTACTTGTGCTCTCAGTTGAGAATGTGATTATTTTTCTAAACCTCAGAGGACTGGTTCTGCTAGGTGTCTGTCTTGAAAACTGAACAACTTGAACTCCACTTTCCTATCTGAATTGTATAATGAACTATTTTTAAAAAAAAACTATTCTACTCCCTTTATTTTACCACTTCTTTAAACTGCTGCCCCTGCCCCAGAAGTTACAAAAGTTCTCATTTTTCATATTATATTTTATAAAAGTCCTTTCCAAAGACACCCATACTCCATATTCTTACTTGAATAATTCATGAAATATTAATATTTAAATGCTGCTTCAGAACTGTTACAGCATTATATTTAAAATCAGGATTATGGTGAAAATGGTACAGTGACACAATGCTTTCATCATTATTGACTCAGGACTCACTGCAATCTAACCTGAATCACTACTAGTAAATCTTTAAGTATTTGCAAAAAAGAAACAATAATATGGACTGTAATACCAAGGGTAGAATTTGGAAGGCTATGGAACAGGCTAACAGAAATCTAATAATCTGATTTCCCAGAAGAAAAACTGCATATTTATTAAAATTCAGCTTTCCCACACTTTTTGGTTGCCAAAGCATAGATAAGAAATTATTCAAATTGTGTTAATATGTATAACTCTTCCTTAACAGCAAACCGCTAATTTGACATGTCTCAGCAGGTATATCACATAAACAAAAATAGGTGGTGATAGGTGTCCACAAATTTAACATCAGTTAGAAACAGACAGAAAAAAATATATCTGAATATCCTTGAAAATGCTCTGGGACAGCATTTGTGATTTGTCCATTGTACACTATACTATGCGATTTCTCCTGAAGAACAGGAGGGGGAGCAGTGAAGCTGTAAAACAGGAAAACATTTTGGAGTCAAAATTTCAACAACAGTGCAATTTTAGAAGTGGTTTGAAAAAATGTTCATTAGCTACTGTATTTGATATAAAATTTAGTCAAAAAGTGCTATTTGTAGTTATTTCCAGAAAGAGCTTAGAAGAGCTATGCTCTTAATTTCTGCTCTTTTTTTCATAATCCCTGAGTTTCTTCCTCCCTTAAGCACTTCCGAAAATTCTAGCCTTTATTTTACTTGTTTTTTCCAGCTCTTTGCTTTTCCTTACACTGCAGTGCTGCAAGGTCTTACTGAAGTTATCTCTCTGAAAAGGAGAGCAATGATTTAAGAGTTGACTTCCACTTCTCCCTATTCTTTTGTGAAATGCCCAGAAAGCTTCCTGCCCTCCTAAAAATAGTAGTCAGCCATACTGGATTAAATAGAGCAATAAGAGTACTACCTTGCTAAAACACATCCAACTACGGTCCCTTTTGTATTTGTACATGTTAATGTTACAAATACAAAATTTGTTTTATTTTAATAAATTTGTTAATGCTTGCTTAGACAAAGCTTCCAGAGGCCAAAGCCTCTCTTTCTTGTATGTGCAGTAGGTATACAGGACAGGTTCATACAAACAGTTCTGGTGATACACTAGTTTGTTTTTATTAGGCTGTAATCAGATAACTGGACAGATGCACTATACCCTGAGGTATACAACCTTTACAAAAAGATGGCAGTGCCTGTGGTAAACTGACTCCAATCTCCTGTGCATGGCACTCAGAGCCAATAATTAAGTGCCATTAAAGTAACAAAAAAAACCTCTGAAGGCGAAATTCATCACAGCTTTAAAATATACTGTAGTTAATAAGGCTATAACACAATAACAAAGCTTACCGTTTATGCTATCTACAATCTAAAGATGTCTTCATGGAAAGGACTTGTCCTGGAAATGGTAACTTCTAAGTAACTTGAAGCCTTATGTCTAATAAAGCTATGCTAGCTGTACTGAAAACAACAGTGCAAAAATGCTCTTTAAAATCTTTTCCCTGCATTGCCAGTGTTTTCTATCATGACAGTAATTTAACTTCAGAACCTCCCTCCAACAAAAAGAGTGGCTATTTTTATCCATTGTTTAATGTTTATTTTACTTTCTGAGGATTATGTACTCATTCATGCTCATTCACAATGAAATACAGAAAGTGTTCTAGTTTTCATACCTGTTTCCCCCAAGAGAGTCTTGAAGTAGCCTTGTAAGCTTTGAATCTCTGTATGGTACATGAGTTGCCTTCTTACTTTTATCTCCCAGTGCACTTATTACATTACCAAGTGCCAGCTATAAAACACCAAATCATGTAATGCACAAGTTAAAATCAGTTCTTGAGTAGTTTTACTTTAAAACAGCTATAAACTGGGGTCTCAATATTGTAAAAAAATGAATACACTCATGAAAGTTAAGATAAAAAATATTTCTGAGGATTTTTACATTTTACAGTAGACATCTATAAACTTTCGTGCTATCAACAGTGAAGCAGATGACTTGCAGTCTGGTATCTGCAAGTGCTAAGTGCTTAGCACAATTTGCATGCATTGTCTATTGGTATCTCATGGCAGTCGCAAACTAAAGTTAGAACTACTTCATGTAACAAACATTTACTTTCTATGATTATTAAAGGTGATCTCTATTTCTAGCAGTAGCTATATTCTTTTTAAAAATAATTTTATCAGTGTGCTTTATGCTAGATTTAGAATAAAATATGGGGCATTAATATTAAAAAACCCAGAATTTATTACCTCTACAGATATGAAATAAAGAATGTATGATGAGTATTTAAGCATTTAAGGCTTGAAATTATGTAGTCCATAGCTATCCTCTTTTGTTGCTAAACGGGTCTAATGCATGTTTATAAACAACCTAACATTTGGCTGTAAAATTATTTTTAATGTGCAACTGCACATACTTCAATCATATGCCAAATTAAAGAACATTCCTCTAGATGGCACCCTGTAGAGTCAGTTCTTAGTCTTGAAAATGGTCTTACTGCATCCAGCAGTTGAAGAATTGTATATACACCACATTCTGTGACTGCTTTGAAGTGTTTAAATCACTTTCAATCTGTTTCTCAAAGCTGAGGTCTGGAATTCACTGTAAATGAAAGTTTCGTGATCACATAAAATATTACTTTTATCACACTGATTTTCACCTTCGCACATTCTGTATCCTATTTGTTAGGGATACATCTATGTCACCTAAACCCCCAAATTTCTGTTGGCTTTATATGTGCTTATATCAATGATGAAATTGAACTGAATTATCTTTCTCTTCCATATAATATAACCACAATAACTACAGGGTTGGTTTACATTATGTGTCATAATTATAACAAAGAACCAGCATTTATTGATCAATTAAGCTTAATAATTGTCCATATTTTACATGCCTGTACTCCTTGCAAACTGCTTGTAATAGTCTCCAATTGTTTGGGTCTTTACAGAATAAAAAAATAAAAATAAAAAAAGTGGAAGGAACTCTACAATACATTTTAAAAGTTAGAGTAACTAACTATGTTTCACAACAGTTTTAAGTACTGTAATTTGCTAGCTAGGGTCTAGTCCAACCAAGAAAATACTAGCAAGCCAGAACCCAGTAAGAATCAATATATACTGTTAACATCTCATGCTACAGTCCTCATTCTGCACACAATGCGTTTCTACTTTACGGATTACTGAAAACAAGTGATCCAAAAAGGAAGAGAAGATGGTGGTACCAACAGCCTATGGAAACAAGTTGTATAGTCTTACTAGTCCACAGTTGATGGAAATGCCTTCTTTTGCCCTTTCTCCTGTAGCTCCTGTTCGCTTTAACCTTTCTGATCCTGCTAGATCAACAAAATGGAACTTGGCAGTAAGAGTTTCAAATTCATTCATCTCAGAAGATTCAGATATTATCCTGTTATCAGTGGCATTATCCTGTAATTAAGAACAACCCATAAAGCTTGGTAAGACCTTTCACATTAACATTTGTCTACTGCAAAGTTTAATCAACAATTATTTACAAGACTACCTATTTGTCATGCCCAATTCCTTCCATATTTACTCATTCTCTTACAACTACAACAGTATCTCTCAAAAAACTATCTCCATTTTAACCACAGGTACTAACATATCATTCTTGAAGACCCAGCTCTAGATCCACGTGAATACCAATTACTTTAAGTATGAGCTACAATTGTTTTTTGTTGGAGGAATGGGGGGATACATATATTAAAACATACAAGTCTTCAGCAAGGTGGGCAAAAAGATTTGTACTTCTCCTGGAACGCAAGTCTTAAATCAATTGTCGAAGGAAATTTATTTAAAAAAAAAAAAAAAAAACTAATTATATTATTACCCCCCAAAATTACCAGACCCCCTTAGCTCATAAACCTGCCAAATAACTCAAAGATATTTTGATTTTATACCTTTCTAATCCCCATCATCAGCTTCCCTGTGGCATGATTCTTCACCTGTATTTTAGGAATTATTTTTTTAAGCCAGTTTTCCTAGCAGCCAGTATTCCACCAGCACTTCTGACTTGACCAGAAAATAAGGACAGCAGAGGAAATGAGGGAGAAAGAAGAGGTTCCTTTCTCCACCCCCCCTCACCCAAGTAAGCTGTAATGACTGGCACTTGACTCATGCCTCTGTCAGTGCAGGGAATCTGCCCAGGAACACACTGCACTACGGGCTGGTACCATAGCCTCAGCCTCTTTCCACTTCATGTCCCAAAGCACAGCAGCAAAATTATCCTTTTTCATTAGATAATCCTGAGTTTCTGCTGTCAATTAGTATAGCTGTACCATATACTGTGGAGTTTTCTTTTATTCTAAGTGTAGTTAAGACTTGTCAGGAAAGCAACACTGAGTGAGAAAAATCTTTAGATTGCTCACTTCTTGACCTTCCTGGTAAGATACTCATTGCAGGGCAATTTCTACCTACTTGTCATGGCAGCTTCAGGCATATACTGAGTGTATACAGGATTTATAACATATTCACACAGCCCAATATACAGGCTTTATTAGGAATTTCTATTACAGAAAGCATAGATTGTTCTAGTTTTTCTTAAAAAAACAAAAACAAACAAAAAAAAAACCAAACAAACAGACCCTCAGGTATTCTGTGGCAATGATCTTCATGCCCTTGGTCAGCTAGCCCACAGCTCCCTTCACTACTGCAAGGGGTAATGCATGTGTCTGCAGACTAAACCATTCTCACGGCAGTTAAATGTTTCATGCTTCTTAAATAATCTCCTTTTGTAGCAGTTTCAGGAGAGAACAGGAATTGTGCCACTTCCACAAGACTGGAAATCACCATTTCTGATATTTTGACATTTACACTGCTGTGGACTGCACACTCTTTCCCAGCCCTCACAGTAATGATTAATGCATCCTTTCACTCTCGCTTATTTAATAAGTCAAAGGTACATCCAGAAACTTCTGAGGAGCATGGATGGTGTGAACACAGCATGAGGAGTAGCGCATCTGTGCACTGCAGCCCTGGCTGCCTGCCCACACTGGGCACCGGGGACCGCACGCAGAGGGGACACAGCCAACGCCGTCATTCAAGGAAAAGAAACTGTGTTGCCCTAGTAACAAAGGTCTCCCAAAACTGTTGTCTGCAGAAACTTGAGCTGCACCTATCCTGGCCACCCAATAATAGTTCATATTAATTTATATGCCAGGAGCATTCAGAGGCCAACATCAGGTCTAAACCCTACTCTCCTAAACACCACAGGGCAAGAAGAGGGTGCCGTCTCCACAGATGAAGGATCTAGCAATGCCCTGCTCTAGACGGTCAAATTATCTTGCTCATATCTCCCAAAAAAGAAGAAACAAAACACAGTTTGACATTAGGCAGAAGGCAGCCACCTATTCTTCTAACACAAGCCTCTGTTAAAAACCAGGCAGACCCAGGCAAGAGTCCTGTGGGCAGCTCAGCTGGTGGGGAAGACTGCAAGTGCACCAGTGCAGGTGGATTGACTGTGGGAAACGAGGCTCCCAGATGAGTTCTCACACCCCAGCTACACGGACAGTTTTCAACAAAACCCCCGAGCAGACAGTGTCACCACACAGTGACCGAGGTACCCTATCTGGGCTCCAAGCACGGTGCCAGCCCCTCCCAAGTGAGAAGACAGACAGCTGCCCGCACCACCAGATCCACAGTTTCAGCATGAAAAGCAGGAAGAAGTGTTTTTAACAGGTGTATAAAGCAGGTCTACATACCACAAAGGACCAGGGACTGACCCTCATTTGCCTGCAAATGATTATTTGAGTGTTAAAAAAAAAAAAAGCAAAAAAACCACTACAAATCCAATCCACTGTTCCACATGCTTAAAAACATGATATCTGTGTAAAATGCTAGCCAGATACTTAAGAGTTCACTAAAACATTTTAAAATTTTGATACCTTTAGAATAATCAAATTAAGTCCCCCTGAAGCTACTGTAGTTTTCAGTAATGTGGATTTATTCAGAACTCTCCTCTTTACAAGACTCACCAACAGCAACTAACAACTGGACATTCACATGAAGAATCTACGGAACAGCTCCGTGTACATTCATAGTTTTCATAGTTCAAATTTCAGGTTAAGTGCTTAGACTTAACAAAACATCTGAACCCCAAATATATATCTGTTTGAAATAAAACCACTAAGCCTCAGAATGAAATGCTTTTCTACTTGCTCCTTGTTGGATATCAACACTTAATCTGAAATATCCAAGCATTTTCACTTAGCTGACTGCAAGCTTAAACCCACTAACTACTAAGACACTTAAAAACACTTTCCCAATTAAAGACAAATTACATTTTAACTTTCTTACTTGTGTATGTTGCAACGAAATACTGAAAAAAAATGCTAGAGGAGAATGGGCAGGTTCATGTAAGAGACTGCAGTTTATGGTTGCCTCTGGCTAGAGGATGGTTACATATGCACAGATTAAATCAAATTATTGTAATACTTAACAAATTCACCAAGCATGATGATTGTAGCATCTTTACTAAGTGCAATTCAAATAGCAGTGGCTGCCAAAACATTCACATTCACATTTTGAAAAATGGTTACTAAAGTGAAGTTTAATAACAGCAAAGATACATACAGTGTTAAATGCAGGACAGACTCTGGTTTGACATAAGTGGATAGTAAAGATAGCATGTGACCGTGAGCTCTGAACATTCATCTGAGTGCTGGCAGTGGTTCGAGACAAAGCCCCCAGCTTCAAGCACTGCATCATCTAGAAAACAGACAAGAAGTACATTGCATTGCTTGCAGTTTAAATAAAAAGTGTTCCTATAATGCTGTTTTGGATATAAATAAGCTTTTTCTCTTTGCTACAATTTCAGTTCCTATATGCCAAGAAGCACAAAGATTCTTAAATAAGAAAAGTATTTTTTGGTTTCTGAAAGAAAACACTTAAATCTTTGTACCCCTCTGTCCCCTTGTAGTAACATAGCAATACTCCTTCCATTCACCTGTGGCCAAAATGTACGATTTTTGTACTTTTTGTACAAAAACATACAGTACAATAACATTTGTATTCAGATTTGCAATGCACATGAACAGCAGTTTACCTCACATCAGTCATCAGGCAAAAATCTCCTGTCACAGGAAAAATAACGTATATAAGATTTGGGAGATCAGATTTACACACATACCAAAACTTTCTCTCCCAGCAGAACCATATTATTAGCAAAAGTCTGTTTCTAGCATTAAGTGAAAGTGATATGCACTTAATATCAAACATTTATCAGATTTAAGGCTACGGAAACTAAAGAAAATAAAAATTTCAGCTAAATTTTACACCTAAACTGTTCAAGATGCAGATGTTAGCAAGCATAGCCTCTATTTTTAACTGCTTATCAAAACATACAACATTTTTAGAATGTACTTGGTAAGCTGCAGAGTAATTTATTTTCATTTATCACCTCCGATTCTCCATTCACAGTTCGGGTTGTAACACCCACTGTATAAATTCCTCCCGCTGAATCTTCATGTATTTTAATATTTGATTTTTTATTCTTTGCATCAATATCACGTGTGGTATCAAACAGATCAAGAATTTCTTCATTGTAAAGCTGAGGAGAAAAAAAAAGGCAAAAAGCCATGTATTACTTTAGGAAGTAATTCCTCCAAAGACTAACAAATCTGTGCATGGCACATACAGAAAGTTCTAAAAATCCAAAAGCCAAAACTCAAAAAAGGACGCTGTGAAACATCCAAACTTACAGGGACAATAGGGTGATAGATAGACCAGCTGCAAATTAAGTCACCTGCACACCTTACTATTATGCCACCCAAGGAAGCAGTAATTTCCTCCACATGGTCAGATCTGGGAGAAGATTCTTTGGTGGAACCAGGGAAGGGGAGGCACTCGATGCCAGCAGAACAGTGGCAGTGGTTTCTGTGGCAGGTACCTGCTGCCTTCAGGTTTGACCTTGGGCTTTTCTTTTGTTCTGTTGATTCGTTTGGCTGCACCCTCCTCCAAACACTTCAAACTCACTCCACTTGCTCTCCCTGCCATCACACCTTTTCTCATCTTCTCTCCTGCACCTTAATAATTCTATGTCTCTCTCTAATTTAGATAAACTGGAAGGAACTTAACATAATAGTTTTTGTGCAAGTTGCTTATTAAAGACACCAACCAGCGGGCCAAAAATACTACGGCATGGTTTCTTGAGCAGGGCTTTTGTACTTTCCTCCATACAATACCTATACTTCGGTGCCCCAGATTTAGTTACAACTTTCAGGCACTGCTGTATGAGCAACAGCAACTATTTATTACATGTTTCAGGCTGCTTAATGTTCACTGCCTGTTTCACTGGGTCTCCTGAAGATAAGTACATGTACATTTAGTGGTCTTTCAACTCAGTAGCATTACGCATATCAGACTTTTAGGTCAGCAAATCATATCAGAACCAGGAAAGACACCAGAAATTACTATGCAGTTATCAGTGTTAGAGGAGATGGATTATCATTTCATAAGAATGTTCTGAGTTTTAGGAAAGGTGTTTAGATCCAATTGAAGACATCAGGGCAAACATCAGAAAAAAAAGAAGAAAAAAAAACACAAAAAAAAGCAGCATGCCACTGTCTCAGGTCTCTGCTGATGTAGACTGGAATAGGTACAGTGTCTTTAATTTCATTATATCAATTCACTTCAGCAGAGCTTAGGCCAGACTGATTAAATCCCTGATCAAAGTCCCTAGGTAAAAGCCAAAGAACCACTGCAACAGATCTGTATTCGCCCAATGTACTTTCACGTACATTGAAAGCAAGAGGCCTTCTCCTCTCACAAGAGGAAATCCATCCCTGAGAAGAAAAGGCTCAGCATTTGTGAATGTGATGCTTTCAATTCTGTACACATTTAAAAGGAATTATATGTAATTATTAGGCATAAACGCTCTAAGTTGGAGCCTTCTTACTAATGATTTACCTTGCTAAGCACAGACAAACTAATGCCACAATTTAGAGAGGATCCTGATAATGCACCTACAATTGCTTGGAACTGCATATGCCTATCTTTTGGAAAAGCTAGCAGGAAAGCAAGGAGTTAAGAGACACAGACTGCAGCAAACTAAACAAAAGCAATAAAGTAGCAAAGTCACTGTTCCAAATAGTTATCCAGCTGTTGGAATTCAAAGTTATTCCAAAATAAAACCTTGCTTCAACTTGTTCAATGACTAAATTGTTGTCTATGTAATCCAGCTCTAATGGTAGATAGGATGGGAGGAAGACAATACTTTCTGATACAAGAGTACTTTATAATAGGTAACTAATAAGAAAAAGCTCTTTCTGGGAAAGCTCCAATTTAGCCTCGGTACAATAAAAATAAAAACAAAATCTACCAAAAAAGTGACATTTTGTTAATGGTGAAACTATTACATTCATCATTTAACCTTTTCCTAAATTAGATAAACAAGGCAGGCTTTAGTATGTACATTTCATCTGAAATGTGTTGTAATGGCTGCAATTCCGCATACCATTTTAACTGTAACATTCAACTACTGCTCTGTATTTTGGAACTAATCACAGTTACATTTGTAACATTATATCAAAAAACACAAGGAATTCAGAAACTACACTGGTTACTACTCCTTATGCTACTTGCTGTCACAGCTGCCTACGCAGAAATGAAGCTGCAGCTCCCCAGTGTTCAGAGAGAAGAGAATAGTACAGCATTCCCACGGCCCATGCTCAAGCCTAGTCTGTCTCTAGGCAAACATTAGCCAGAGCGACAAAAAGTTCTGCTTAAAGTAAAAAACCTATACTAGTGCAAAACTAATGCCAGCTTGTTAATCTTTAAAACAATTGTAGGAACTTATGACTAAAGGACCTCGTTTACTTCAGCAGTAATAAAACCAACAGCTTTTCTCTTGGGTAATATAAAAGTGGGTTTTTTCCCCCATGAAGTAGATAAAGTTGCAAATACTGAACTAAGTAATACACATTTACACCTGCTCTTCCTTAAATTGATTCTTCCTCTCTGTGTGCTTAAAGTATCAGATTTTGCAGCTTGGTAGTAGATGTAAATATGTTACGCCCAAGTCAATCAATTTAAAAAATTGTTCCATGGGCAGGAGACCCAGCATAAAAGCTGCAAGACTTGAACCAACAGCTGCTGCAGATCAGAAAGATCACAGGTATTATGGCCTCTCTTACCAGTAGCTATGTCTACAAGAAAACACAAAGGGAACAGTTTTTTAAGAGCACTGACCCAGGTTTTCTCTGGGTCTAATGAAAGACAGAACAGTGACACAGAAGCCTAATCCTAAACCAATGGGTATCACAAAGAGAAGTATTTTTATGCTAGGTTTCTTCTTTGGTGAAAGGAATATAACAAGTCTCCTGAACAGATAAGAAACCTATGGCAAACTGACAAAAGCAGGCAAAGCATGGTCACTATTCAAAAGCACAAAGTACAATTGATTTTTTTTTAACAGTTTCTTGCTTTAAGGTTTTGTAAAGAATTACAAACAGGCAAGAGCAACAGGCTGACAAAGAAATGTGTGTTGCAGAGAAGGATAAATGATGACTAATATAACTATTTCTACATTTCAAAATAATGCTGTAAAGGAAACTACTAAAATAATTGGAATAAGATAAAAAGGGTCTTTTTCATAACTTGGAAATCTGAAGCAAATTCCATAAAATTTCCTTTTGAAATCTTGAAGATTAATTCAAAACATCTCATGAGAAAAGAACATAAAAGTAACAACCAGAAAAAAATGTTTTATTTTCTTTCTAAAAAAAATACATGAAGCACACACACAAACACAGATCATATTTACCTCTAAGAACTGTGCATTCACTTTAAAATCTGGAGGTGGAAGTCCTTGTTTAATAGCAGCTTGTTTTTTTTCTTCAATACATCTGAAAAGATGCTTAACAGCACGCGATATAATGCCTTGTTCCTCTTCTGTTATGTTGACATCAAATCCAGTGCCCATGGTGTATGTTTTGCCAGCACCTGTCTAAATTGAAAAAGGAGTAGTCACTAGAACTTGTTAATAGTACTGAGTCATCACAGGCAAATGCAGTTTGTGAACACTAGTGCTAGATAGTGACTACTAAGTCAGTTTCTTGTCTTTACAATATTAACATGCACAGTAACAGGCCATTTTGAAAAATGGATAAACAGTAGTTGGACAAACTGTTTATCCACAAATCACATACAAGAAGGCAGGGACCAGTTCATAACCTTTCCCCTACAAGCTTCCTCTAAGCTGCTTACATCAGCCTTGAGCTATCATCTCTGAGGTCAAAAGAACAGTTCATGTTTTCAACTGAGACTGTTAATCAAAGCATGTATTTTGGAGGTAGAAGCAGCATTTGCAATTCTTTACTGAAGTAGATTAAGTGACTCCCTTAATTATGACATCTGAATATCTCAGGGAGAATATTACCATTGTTCTTAATTTATAGACAGCACTGAAGAATACAAGCTGTACCTTCACTAGGTAAATAGCTTAATTAAATGTGAAGTCCCATAGAAGACAAGGTAGTGTTGTGGTTTTACTTAATTAGTGGGTCAAGTCTAAGACAAAGATAGTACCACACAGCTAAACATAATCTACTAAACTGGATCTGCAAACTGCTTTGTTTCACTAGGACTAGATTTCACCTAGCCGACTTGAGATACGACATTTAACAGTGGTGAAATTCAGCATCCAAGACCAAATTTTATGCAATCAGTTCCTAAAGGAGTATTCAGAAGACAGTAACACATTCACTACACTGTGGTCAATGATATTTCAGCTTTTAGCAGTAAAATGTGTGCCCAGTGTAGTGAGAGGTTGTGTTGTCTATGAAAAGTTCTCCAACTTTAGAATCTGATCTCTACATTTTGCCCAAAAAAAAAAAAAAAAAAAAAAAAAACCACAAAACCAAAACATTGTGGCCTGAAGTTCCCTAAGATCTATTTTAAAAAAAGCTCCTCTTCCCAAAAGCATCTGAAAATGCAGAGAGATGGATAATTGCTCAGAAAAGAACCTCAGTACAACCTCTATCTATATATCAACTGATTAAGTCACTAATTTGTATTGCTGCATTGGGGTGAATTCAGGAATTATATGGACTCATGTTATTTCCAGCATTACTATTACTTCAGACCTACTGCCTATATATTTAATATTTTTTTTCCTGTGTTTCAATTGCCATTCTGCACAGAATCTACACAAACTCCTAAACAGCCTCCTACAGGATACCTCATTTAAAATAAAACCAAGACACTAAAAAAAAACAGGTTCATGCATTCCAAAATTTACGAGAAAGATCAGTTACAGAAAACTCTTTGTTCCAAAAAAAATACTTTAAAATAAAATTGTAAAGCTTACTTGGCCATAAGCAAAAACAGTGGCATTGTAGCCTTCAAAGCAACCTTCAATTAGTTTTTCTATACACTGTATATAGATTTCTTCTTGCTGCGAGTCAATGTTAAAGACATAATCAAAAGTGAAGGCCTTATCTTTTCCCAAGAACACTTGAGGTTCACCAGGTGTGACAGATGTACAAATATGGCATCCTTCAATCTTCTCTTTGGCTAGCTGTGGTCTAATTCTGTTTTGGAAGAGACAAAAAGAACTATTAGGAATTCTCATCATCAGAAAGAGGAGTATACAAACAATATAAATAAGAAATATGAAAAGAATTCTTTACTGACTGAAAAATGAGAATTTTTCATCAAGCCAGGAAGCTTCCAGCTGTCTGAGCCACACTACTGACTGTATCAGAACTGTACTCATACAACTGTTAATGCAAATGACATCGTCTTCCGTGAAGGTTCACCTACCAAATTCAAGCTGACAACCTGCCTAGAAATCTGAATGTTTCTGTATGTATACCTTGCATTACCAAAGATTAATTTGCACAATCCATTTCAGACTTTGAAATCAAGCTTTCCAGTTTTATCAGATTCCTTCATGCTTTCACTGTAAAAAAATTTTTTGTTGATTTTTTTTAAATAACAACAAATATGAAAAAAAATGCAGGATAGTTTAATTAGTAATTTTGGAGCAAAGACCCCCAAAGCCTACATATCATCTAAATGAAAGCCTCCTTGCTATGAGAGGAAGGAGAAGGCTCACAGTTCTTCCTTTCCTTTGACAGGAAAGGAGCTTTGTCACAGCCAGAACACTTCTGTGAAATATTTGGTTTCAGTGAAGAAGCATACCTTCAGGGGGGAAAAAAACCGAACAATTTCTAACAAGTTCTAAAGGTAAGAGTGTCTCATTCTTCATTATTTCCTCACTTAAGACAAATTCCAGCTTCTATTTCTGTTTGTTCAGTTCCTGACAAACTACTCTGTAGAACACAGCCATCTCAGACATCTTATACTCTATCATTTTATTAATTCCTCTGCATTCTTAATACTCTTGCAGTCTTGTCAAAATTGAATTCATGTATTATCTCCATGACTAAAGAAGATTGTGGAAGTTTGTGATTCAGTTGGTTTAATGGCTAACTAACAGGAAGAAAAATTTTGGCCAACATAACATATTATTCTAGCTGTAATTAATAATGTTTACAAAATTACTTTTTTTTTTTTTAAGTGTTTCCAAGATGTCAAAGCAGCACCAACTTTAAAAAAAAAAAAAAAGTGTGCTGCTTAAAAGACAGGGGACAAATAAGGCTATATAAGGGTGATAAAATGTCAGAAGTACAGCTACCTACAAACAAAATCATGGAGTATTTAATATAGATTCTCCATTTATATCAAATTTCAAGTAACTATATTTACCTCGGCATGGCTATTTTCAGTTACACAATGTCAAAGTTGAAGATCTGTATATACAGAGTATACTTTAAAGGCACATATTCATTTCATATTCCATGTTTTAAGGGCCATATCTACATTAGCATTTGGTTTGGAGTAGCCGTGCTGTCTTGAAGCAAATTCCCCCAACACCTTCACTTACCACATGTTGGTTTGGATTACAGATGAGTTTCAGTGTGTACAAATTATACCCCTTCCAGAGGAAACTAAGCCAAAACGCTCCACTCCAAACACATGAAACTTGTTCCAAAAACTAATGGAAACATAAGGACCCAAAGCTACTACCTACTGATCTACTTCGACCATGCCAATGCTTGCTGATGCAGAGAGAGCTAATCTCCATCAATTCTGAGTGGACTGCTGCAGACTAATTCAAATTATATCAGCACACATATACTTTAGTTCAAGTTAGAAATATCCTGTTTAAAAAAAGTCACACAGAGTATGATGTATCTTTTTGTTGCAGATTACAAGTTTTTCACCCAGGGACGTACATCACTATCAGGAGCATTTTTCAGAATTTTTATTCTAAAGGTTTCATTATAACCCACTGTATGACACTAGAGAATAACCATAATTTATTTGTAAAGTTTTCTGCACACCAATTCCTTCACGGAAAATTCATTAATGATCAGGAGGTACCTCCCTTGTCAGCATACCCTCTAGTGTGGAGTGGAAATTTAATGATATTTTTCAAAGGTTTGTTTAAAGGAACCATTATACAATGCGTAAATAGGCACAAATATTCTATAAACAGTATTTGCACTTAACAACATGGAGTGTGTAATGCAGGCCACAGATTTTCTCTCTAATGACATAATCATTATCATAAGGTTTTTTTTCCCTTAAATGAAGTAAGAATGCTAAAAACAATTTAGGAGTTGCACAGCTCCTTCACTAATAATTTCATCCACTAGCACCTGTGTTCACTAAACAAAAAACCTGATGAACACGTACCAAAGCTTGTAATAAAGTTACTTTGTTCTAGACTAATGAACACTTTATAATAAAATAGCTTTTATTTCTAGGTAGAGAGATAAAGTCTTCAAAGAGATATTAATCATATACCTCTCCTAAAAGCACTCTACAACAACTGGAAAAATTGAGCAAATAAAACATTCTAGTACGCTGCCTATAACACTCAATATTTAGAAAAGGCCAACTTGGTAGGTTATTCTACTGCCTTATTTTAATGCCGTAAAGTCAGTCAGAGAGCAAGCTTCTTTTTCAGACTAAGCACTCTTATTCTTTCACTAATCCGGTGCAGACAGCACAAAAAGCAATCAACTGTTCTTACAAGCATGAATTCTGAGGGCTTCTAAAGCTCCAGAGGTACTTCTCGCATTGTTTTCTAGTACAAGAAGCCTAGAAAGACCTTTTCTAAGAAGCAAGATGGAAAACACATTTTCAAAAGTCAGATAACCTTTTGTGCATCCCAAAAATCCAACTCCCTCCTCCCCAGTTCTGAAAGGCTTTTAGCACTAACTTGTAGAATGAAGGTTGACAACATTTAAAAAAAAAAAAAGTTTTTCTTCATATATTTTCATGCCTTTTTTTTTAAGTTCAAAATTCATTTTCTATGCTGAGGAACTGATGCAATTAGACAGGTGCTGAATAATTTTCTCCTTTCTACTACTACGTAAAGGCTCAGAGTGACCACAAAGAGGAACAGCATGCCTAAAATATCAATTATTTGCATGATAATTATTACAGTGATGACAGGACTAAGTGAGCAGTTTCGATGTCGGCCTGTGGAGGCTTCCCATGAGAATCCTCCCAGGTAGCTCCCCTGCCTTGCAGCCAGGCAGCACCTCTGAGCGCTCTGCTGATACAAAACCCAGCACAACAGCAAGCTGCAAATGCATTACAGGTGACCATAATCAGACCACAGCAAGACACCATTCCAGAGACCAGCTGAGCCGACAGAAACCTGTGTCACTGCTAGCAGCTTGTTACTGGCTCAATCCCTTCCCCCAAGTTGTAACACAACATCCAGAGACCTAGCAGCAATGATGGTGTCCTTCCTCCCTAACTTACCGCTAAATCTGAAGGCAGCGCTAAGAGAAAAAGTAGCATGTGCTGGTGAAATATGCGGCACAAAGGAAAAACAAAGGAAGACTTGCCACATCAGGAAAGCTTCACCCCAAAGACAGACGGCCTTCTCATTTTGCAATTGCTCCTACACAATGTCCCACTCTGCCACAGAGTTGGGAGGTAGCAACCAGAGAGAGATCACAGCTGCATCAGGTTTGAAAGACTTCTTCCCCAAAAAGGGTGTGCAGGCAAGAGATCTTCATCACCCAGCCTGAGGTCTGCTCAAGGGATACTTCATGCTCTGAAATCTATATAGCTCTCTTGATACATCTAGCACCAAGCTAATGTGATGACCTTAATGAGTAAGCAACAAATGCCTCACCTTTAACCTGATTTCTGGCCATTTATGAACAGTGAGAGTGGATTACCTGAACCTCATGGCTCTCAGTCTTACTATTCGCACTGAATGTGTGGTCCAGCAAGTAATACTCCTCATGCAAGTCAGATTCTCCTCCAGCACTGGCTATAGGAACATTTCCTCCTCCTCCACCCCACACATCAATCAGGAAAGTGATTTTTCCTTCTGCTTACAGCCAAACCTTTCCTGCTCTCTTGTCTTAATGTGGTCGCTTCTGTCAGCAAAGCAGGCAGCACCCATGCTTTAAAATGTGAAAGAGTTCATTTTGGTCATTCCTCCTTACCCAGTTGTCAGCCTGGCAGTCTGCCACTCAGATTTTTCTCCAGGACCAATTTGACTTCACCTATTTTGTCTTCTACGTGGCCTCATCTCACCTGTTTTTCAGGCTACTCTCTTAACTGTACACAATCAGCTGTTTTCTACCTGTTTCCAATCACATCTCCTTAGATGTCACAACTTCCCAAACAACATTTTGCCTTGCATCCTTTCCCTCTCTCCAAAGCATGAACACACCCAACTGTTGTTTACATGTACTTTGCAGAGACTCCAGGCCACACAGATGAAACTTAATCCCCTAAATCTATTCTGCCTCAGCACACTGGGACAAGCTGTCTAATTAGGGAGGGCTAAAATAGCCAGTGGTGGCACAGTAATGCACCGTATTGTAGTGGAACTAATCTCTCAGTAGAAAGGTGCACAATGTCTCTGCTAAAAATACTGTCAGCTGGAAGAGACTCAGATAATACAGTTCAGGGACTACAGCAATCATGGGGTCAATACCCTGTGTTATGCAAGAGACTCCCCAGAACTGATTCCTGTTTAAACTAGATAATACCATAATATTATCCCTTTGAAAAATATCCTTAGTTTATTTCTAGGGATGAAAAATTGTCCCAGTGATTTAAGTCTATATTATTTTTATATATATATATATGGATATACAAGGGTATAGATAGATACACATACACACACACCCCTTCCAGCTACTTAACAATTTTGTTATCTCTGTTCACTTAAGAACCTCACCTTTACCTAATTTTTCCCCAGGAATCTCCACACATCTGTGATCAAGCCATCCCTTAATCTTGTTTCATGTACCAAACAAAATTAGACTAGTGAATTTTTTATTTTGCATCTCCGTGTGAAGTATTGCAAATATTACTCTAACAAAGGGTAATTATCACAACAATTACCATATAACCCGCTCAGCACCTGTACAGAATAGCAATAAGCAAACAGGAACTTCTGAAAGTAACCTATAAAGAGCAAAACATCAAATTATTCTTGTTTTATGGAAAGGAAAAAAAAAAAAATCACAGATTTAATCCTTCAGGTAGCAATAATTAGCCAGAAGCTGAGTGCTGGAAAGAAGAAAACATGACAATGAAGTCCCATGTAAAGTTCTTTTTCATTAAACTTTGCTGTGGGGAAAGGACTGTGTTCACCTTTTTCAGGAAAGCATAAATTCAAACATCACTCAAACCACGTGCAGTGCTGAGCAGGAAACAAAGTTAACCTGTAAACCCAAGACTCACCAATACTCCTCTCTTACTACATTAAGACTATTAAATTTTACACAATTAAGTTTCACATGTGGATATATGAAATACTAAATCCAAGAGCACCTAATAAAACACTTAATGAAGCATAGCAGGCAATATAAACTGGGAAACAAACAAACAAAAGCTCTCCAAAACCAGAAAAAAAGAAAATAGCTTCCTGCCACTACTTCAGCATCACGATTCCCTCTTTTCTATTCCATTACATTTACGCTCATCAAACCATTCCCATCAAACATACTCCTTCAAAACAAGGAAGGAGTAGAGAAAGCTGAACGATTTCATCCCACAGACACCTAATACTTCTGCTTGCATAAGCTTTTCAGTATTTTTGCTAGCACACATTGGAAGCTTGCTTGCTTCTATGATTATAAGCACCTCCAAATGAGGCCACAACTATAGCATCTGAATGCATTCATCTGAAATAGCTGATTGGTATATTAACTCTTTACCTCTCAATGAGGTTTAAGAATATGAAAGAGGCTGGCATATGACAAATGCCTACCTTTCATTAACACAGCAATAAGGACACAGGAACAAGACTTCTGGCTCATGCCAGCAACCACCACCCATTAAGAGTTTCTGTTCTGTTGCCAGCGTATCTCAGCACAACAGCCCCTGCACCTCCACTGCCTGTGGCAACACAGTCTGTGGTACCTACAGGTAAAAAAAATGCTCATATTTGTTGAGTTACCATTCAGTAACCTTTAGTACAGATGTAGTTCTGTAATATCCTTCTCAGCATTTCCAGAGAGGTTTTAGGTGGCCAGCGAAACAAGTATGAAAAGCCTGAGAACAGTTTTAGTATGCTTTTACCCTGCTTTTTAACTCCAGAAACACACACAACCATACCCCAACTTCTAATTAAAAAAAAGTAAGATTACTAGAAGTCAATACCTCACCTTGCAGCCCAACTCTTTCTGAAGAAATATCACAATGGCTTATTTTTTTTTTAGCTCCA